TTGTTGTTCGGTGATCGATGAAACCCATCTCGGTAAATCTACTCCTTCTTCATGTAACTGCTGATGCGTAGGAGATTTCCCTGCAAAACAACCAAAATCCAATAATTCAATCACATTTTGAGCGAAAATGCGGTTTCAAAGATCTCTGTTTTTTTTGGGTTCTGTGTTGTACCTGTGAGTAGTTCAAGAAGGAGAACGCCAAAACTGTAAACATCAGCCTTTTGGGAGATTCTCCGAGCATCGGTTACTTCGGGAGCACGATAACCATCGATGCGGTTAGGTGTAGAAGTAGGGCTGATCATAGGCGCAAGACAGTAATCAGAGACCTTAGCCTCGTACGATTCAGACAAGAGAATGTTAGAAGATTTAATGTTGCCATGAGATGTCGTCGGGTCACGCGAATGAAGGTAACTAATCGCTCTCGCGGCTCCTAACGCTATACCGGCCCTTGTTTCCCAATTCAATGGACTCCTACCACTTCCTTTGTTCCCTGTGAATCCCAACGAACTGATTTTTTAGCTAATCTATTACCACTAAAGAATCGAAATTTCGAAATTGGAAACATTAAAAGCCAAAGGGAGAGGTTTGTTGTATTACCGTGTAAAAGCGCAGACAAGCTTCCTCTAGACATGTATTCGAAAACAACGAGCTTTTCGTCGCGGCTGAAGTAATAAGCGATCAATGTAACGAGATTAGCATGGCTTATTGATCCAAGAACCTGCAATTTCTCCCTAAACTCTTTCTCAGGCACCACAACATCTCTCAGTCGTTTCACAGCCACCACTAATCCGTGATCGAAACTCGCCTTGTACGAAGATCCGAATGTTCCTTTACCAAGAACTTCAGCTGAAGCCTTTAGCAGTCCATCAAGATCGAATTCGCCGAATGATTTCACGAAAAATGTCAGATCTTTACTCACTGCAGTGTTCTTTGATGCACCACTTTCAGATAAGTGTGGTCCACCGTTAACCACCGGAGGAGGGACATTAGCCACCGCCGATTCCTTGGGTACGGCGGCTGATGAGTTGGGAAAAGGAGCTGCTTCGATGTTTCTCGATTGGACATTGTCCTCTTTCTTCCTCTTTCTACAGAGACAGAACAAGATCAAGAAGAGCAAGAGAAGTCCAAATAAACAAGCAATCACTATTCCGGCGATAGCTCCGGCGGATAACTTGTCGCTTTTGCCTTTTCCAGGTATCATCACAGTGCCGTTTCCGGCGACGGCGCAAGCGTCTAACGGCTTACCACAGAGCGAATTGCCTTCAAAAACGGATTTGGGTCTACCCGACAACGAATCCGGAATCGACCCGTTTAACTGATTAGAGGAGACATTGAATTGCTGAAGAGTAATCTTAATCTCCGGGATCGGACCGGTCAGTTGATTATCCTGCAAGTAGAGAGTAGCTAACCGGGTCGCCGAATTGACATTATCCGGGATCCGACCCGAGAAATTGTTCTGGGCAAGGTTGATCCGGATCACGTTAGGTAAAGTGAAGAGAAACGAAGGAATCTCGCCGGAAAATGCGTTTCCTTGGAGATACAAGTACCGGAGGAGAGTAAGGTTGGCGAAATCCGGCGGGATTGGACCAGTGAGTGCGTTGAATCGGAATGATAAAGTTTGAAGCTTGGTTAGGTTTCCAATTGCGATTGGCAACGGACCCGATAAACCCACACCTGGTAATCGGAGTGCGGTGACCCGACCCGACCCGCATTGGACTCCGCCCCAAGTACAAGGTGGTGCGGTTAGATTCCAGAGCAGAGGACGGCCATGGACGCCGTTTCGGAGAGCGATTAGTGCTCGCCGATCAGCTTCTAGATCTGACGTCACCGAAACG